AGCGTAAAGGCTCCTTGGAAAAGATCATTGACTTTGTAGAGAAACTGCACAGAAACTCCAGGCTCCCCATTCACCTTCCCTTTGTCTACTTACATATCTTGGGTAGCCATAACACCCTGTCTTAGTTGGCGATCTAGGACGAAGACATGGACATTGACTGAGGGCTGCAGTTGGCACTAAGTTTCATGGCTTCATGCATTTCTGTGAGCCCTGTAGATCTATGATGCCATGGATATAGCAGCACAGACCCACAAAGGCCGTTTACCAGCACCCCAGCACCTCCCATCCCTTCTTTCAGATACCCCAGCCTCTGAAATGAAATGACCTATCTCGTGTTTGCACAGAGCGCTTGGCCGTCTCTGGATTACTTGTAATGGCTAAACCAGTGCAAACACCACGTTAAGTTACACTGCCCGTCCACGACAAGGACAGCGTCTGGGTACCCTCCGCACAGGAAGTGTTTCTCCTTCCATATGTTTTCAGTCTGAGCATGGAGAACTCCTGGATCCAGAGGGCTTGCTGTGATCAGGAAAAAGCAACATTAGAAAGCTGGACATGAAGGCAGGGGTGGGCAGCTGAGGCAGGAGCATTGCCACAAGTTCAAGGTCAGACTGAGCTATGTAGCAAGACACTTCCCCTTCCTCAACCCTCATTTCACCTCATCTTAAAGCAAGCAAACAAACAAAACACGCCTTCCCCCAAATTTGGACACGGGAGACCACGGGGAAACAGTCTCCTTTCAAAGCAGGAAGTTGGAATAATGTCTGAGAGGTCCAATGCTCCTGCCACCTCAGCAGTCAAGATCACTTGGTACCCAGGGACTTCCTGTCCCCACCAATAGCCTTGGGACATCCTGGTCGTGAAGCTGGTTCCCGCTGGAATCATCTAGGAAGCTGAGCAAGAGTATTATGGCATGGCCGCTTGCTAGCTAGGTTTGTTCTCTCCGTTTTTCCTGGTGACTGGAGTCGAGCGCTTCAGAAGAATTGTGCGTAGGAAGGTAGTGGCTTTGAGCTGGTTTTATTCTCCTTTTACCAAATAATTATATTTTATACTTCCTCTTGGTTTTATAAACTTTCTTTGGTTTCTGTAGCTATTTTTTCTTTTATAGTGTTTCTTTTCTGTGCTTGCTCTAATCATTACTGTTTTTTTCTAGGCATTCATGGCCCCAGAATTGCTTGGCTTCGATTATTATTCTTATCAATTACTTTCTTTTTTCCCCCGACTCTTTAAGCTGCTTTTTTGTACAATATTTGTTCTGAACAATATTTTCCCCCTTTAATGCCTGACCGTGACTTCCTTTAGGCAGGGAGGCTTAATTTCACTTGAAGCAAACTGTGTCTTTGCCTTAGATTGAAATAGTGCCGTGCTGTGTAGTCCGTATTCACTGAGTCACACTTTGGCTGTTCCTGGCTCTCTGCTGTGTTTGTCTGGGTGTTGGAATTACCGTAAGTGCGTGAGTAAAAGTCAGGCTCGTATAAAGCTGTGGTTATCTCTGGGAAAGAAGCCGTCCTTTGCAGGGTCTCTCTGGAAATCCCTGTCACAGACCCAGCCTTCGCTGTAGAAGACACATCACACTTGATTTGCGTCACCGATGACACTGCGGGGCTCCAGCAGTCATCCTAGGACTATGGCAGAAGGGACGATGAAGACACTGGACACAGCTTCTGGAAGAATGGCTCCAGCTGTGATGGCTTAGGGACTACGCAACCCATTGAGTGGTTAATTTATGGGGATTTTAAATGGGTGCCTATGGTTTAGGGTTTCAAGCAGATATTAACATCCACAGATACGCATTTCCGCAGTGATAGCTAGTGCTGAGACTCAGTGTGAGAGTCCTGCAGAAGTGTGCAGGAACCCAGGACCGTACCCCAGCAGCAGAGGACAACCAGGTGTGCCATTGTAAATGTCTAGCTCAGGAAGGCTTAGCTCCCATGCGGTGACCCAAAGAGACTTTGGTTCTGACTTGTGGTAGTGACGCTGTTTCATGAGATGCAAGGTGTGCAGGTAATAATTCTAAAGTTATGGCTGGGTGTGGTGGTGCACACCTTGACTCCCAGAACTCGGGAAGCAGAGGCAGATGGATCTCATGAGTTCCAGGCTAGACGGGTCTATGTAGAGAGTTCTAGGCTAGCTAGAGCTACATGTTGAATTAAGTGGGTATTTGAATATATCATCTTTTGTTTTTGTGGTGTTGGGGCAGAAACCAAGGCTCCACGTAACCTTATAGTCTGATGTGACATTGCGACTTCAAAGCTGAATATTAGCCAGCGTGACTCGGTGGCCCCATCACAGTCCTGAAAGCTGATATCACGTGCTTCCAAAACCCTGATTCAAAGGGAGGTCTGCCTATTGGGAAAGCGGGTGGGGCTGCCTTACATTTAGGGTGACCTGATATTTGGGTACATGTGTTGTCTTTTCAAAGCAGTGTCCAGTGAGCCGTGCGTAGTTTCGCTTGAGCTGAAGATGTACGGACTTCTCCCCCAGTTACGTGTGCACTCAGAGGGCATTACAGATTTATATTCTCTAACTTGGTGTTACCACACCCCTCCTCCACATGCCGGGCCTCAAGGCTCCCGGCAGCCTTCTGGTCTTGAACTCACTGACCACCCTCCTCAGCTGACTTTCTGATTCTTCCCATTCTAACCCATCCTTGGTGGTTCTGAGGAAGCCATCTCCTGGCTCTCTCCTGCCCAGTCCTGCTGCAAATGGCTGGACCCCGCAGGGGCCTGTGCACACGGATTTGATTTGAATTTTGTTCCTCCTGTTTTTTACCCTGGACCTGGACAGTCCCATATCTCTCCTGAGCTTCATCTCCTACTCATGCTGAGTTGAGAATTGGTTACTGGCAAGCCACATCTTGCTTCAAGCTTGACTTGCATAGTATGGTTATTGTTATTTTACACTCAAGTTTGCTGCCGGTATTTAAAAACTGAGACCAAATCAAGACTTCCGGCTTTTCACAAAATGGGCAGGCTAGCAGCACGGGAACTGGGCTATAGGCAACCGTCCCTGTTGAGTGGGACATTGCTGCCCTGTTTGGTGATGCTCATCTATTCACGGACATTGCCGTAAGGTGTCAGCCGCCATTTTTGCTTCATTATGATTACACTGTTAAGTTACCCATAATAGACATAAGAAAAAGAGTATTTATTGTCTGATTTCTCTATTCCTATGAAGGAAAATTAAATCAGGACCAAACATAGTAGACGATGTATAAATATGTATATATAAACATTTATGGAAAAGTATTATTAAAAAGATTTTTAAAATTTTGTGTGTATGAGTGTTTTGCCTGCATGTATGAATTTACACTATGTGTGTACTCACAGAACCATAGGAGGCCAGGTCTTGGATCTCTTGGAACTAGAGTTATAACCAGCTGTGAACCACCATGTGGGTGCTGGGAACCAAACCCGGGTCCCTTGCAAAATCAGCAGGTGCTGTGACTTGCCGAGCCATCTCTCCAGCCCCTAGAAAAGTACTCTTCATTAATGTTCAGTGTATGTCTGAGTCAGTGTAAGATTCCAGCATTTGTGTGTTGACTGAGACGCTTCTGAGATGGCTCGTATATACACACATTCGTACAAATACACATTTTGCTTCAGAATGTTTAATTTTGTTTTGTAGTGGTAGGGATCGTGCCCATCAGCCAGTTACCACAGCTCCAGACCCCAAATGATCTCTTTGCTAATCTAGCTTCATTCTCTGTTAGTGACTGACTACCTGCAATGAGCAAGGGTTCCCTGGTACAGTGGAGAGAAAGGCAGGCCTGTTCCCTGCCTGGTAGGAGCTTACAGTCAGCTTGCACAGCGCTGAGTCTCCCACTCAGAGGGCTCTATTTGCTTTTCGTCTTCCGCCTGTCACCTCCATGCCAACGAGTGACGTCACCTACCATCCGAGGGGCATTCTTCATTCCATCTGCACCCCCAATTCCCTTTGCCATGTCAGGTTAGCATCCACTCAGGCATGGCACCAGGGATTAGGAGGCTGACATCTGTGAAATCCATTATTCCACCTGTGATAACATCTGTTTGCTAAATAGATTAAAATATTATCATCTGCCAACGTGCTGTGACATTTACAGGCTAAGCGTGGAGGCCCGTGGAGGCTGTGGAATGGATTTATTAAATCAACTTTCAAGTTTTATTTATTTTACTGATGTTGTTTTATTGATAAGAGGCAGGGGAGGGTGGACCATAGCATGTGTGGAGGTCAGAGGATAACTTGCAGGAACTGGTTCTCTTCCTCCACCATGTGGGTTCTGGGGGTTGAACTTGGTGGTCATGCCTGGTAGCGAGGGCCTTTGCTCGCTTAGCCCTCTTGACCGTGTTTTGTTTAAGTTCTTCCCCAGATCCATTGGTGGCTGTAGCTGGTGCTGTTCACAGTGTCACCACCCCGGCCCCAGAATCCGTAACTGTGATTCTCAGGCAGCACCTGTGTGAACATTTGTGTCCCTATGTTTACTTATTGATTTTTCTTTCTTTCTTTCTTTCTTTCTTTCTTTCTTTCTTTCTTCTCCTTTTTTTTTTTTAGATTTATTTATTATGTACAACACAGTGTTCAGCCTTCATGCCTGCAGGCCAGAAGAAGGCGCCAGATCTCATTACAGATTGTTGTGAGCCACCATGTGGTTGCTGGGAATTGAACTCAGGACCTTTGGAAGAGCAGTCAGTGCTCTTAACCTCTGAGCCATCTCTCCAGCCCCTTATTTATTTCTTGTTCTCAGTTATGTTTAATGTTCAGATTTGAGGTCCACTCTGGAAACTCCTCATCTCTTCTGCCCCATTTCACGCTGGATTTCCTGAAATCCTTCAGTTTTTTATACCCAGCGGTAACTAATTATGTCCCATTTTATAAATCTTTACTCCTTGGCCAGATTTCGGCAGAGAGGGTGAGGGTGGGTTCCAAGAGGTCCTCAAAGCTTTCACGTTCTCCAGGAACAAAATGTCACTCTGTCCTCCCGAATGTTTATCTGAAGTGTCTGGTTTTGTTTGTTTCAGAGACTTGAAGATAGAAAATTTGCTACTAGATGAAGACAACAACATCAAGCTGATTGGTATGGCTTTTCTTTTTTTTTTAAAGATTACCCCTTAAGTGTCGTGCTCCTGATTATTAACTTTGGAAGTTGTTAATGCTCTGTATCTGATCTGAAGTCAAGATTTCTATATTACCCCTTGTACTTCTAACATCTAATAATAGTTTTGAAAATTAATTTAACAGTTTATTTAGATAATAAATTTAAAGTAGTGTCATTTGATTGTAAAATGAATTTTATACTTTCAAGTAAATATTTGTTGGTCACATATTTCTTTGGACTTTGTAAACTTCTTATATGTGCCTGTGGTATATGTTTGGTGTATGCATGCACACACGTGTGCATGTATGTGCATGCATGTGCACATGGATCTGGAGGGCAGAGGTCAAGAGTCTTCCTCAGTCTCTTCCCACCTTATGTTTTGAGACAGGGTCTCACTGAACTCAGAGCTCACCCAGGTGGTTAGGCCGTGAGGCCAGGGGGCACCAGGGACCCTCCTGTCTCTGTGTCCTGAGCAGCAGAACTGCAGACATGTGCCACTGTGACCAGCTTTTCCCTTGGGTGCTCGGAACCCAAACTTGGGTCCCTTTGTAGACGATCCTCAACTTTTAAAGCATTGTATTTTTAAGTGTGAATTAGCAAGAAAATGTATTGTTAGTAGTAGAAAATAGTTTGGCTCAGCAACATTGCCCATAGCTTCTTCATATCTTATTACCCTTCTGTGTATCTGAGGATGCCCCAGGACAAGGAAGGGCGAGAATGGCTTTTCCTTTTCAGTAGAATCTCATGCAAACTTTGCAGCAGGCTGAATGCTGTGAAGAGAGGGGCCAGCAGGGGGATGGCTAGAACCTGGGTCCGCTGAAGGGAAGCTGCAGGACGTTAGAGGTTGTGACTTCCCCGTGGCTGTTCATGAAGAACTGGGTTATTTTTGCTGGTGATGCTCTAAGTGTGTGTAGTTGCTCTTGGCTGTCAAAGTCCACATCCAGGCATGAGGTAGCCAGCGCCAACTCTCATTTCTCCCTTTTCTTTCTTCTCCTACTTCACATGCGAGACAGACTGGCATCTGAGATCCCACTCAGCGAGGGATACGCTGCTCCTGGGCTGAGGGACTCCAGCCTGCTTTTCTGCACGATTGATTAGGCGTCCTGACAGGTGGTGATGGACTGGTTTACCTGTTAGTGGAAAATTAACAGTTCCGAGGAAAACAATCTTCCCCACCCAAAAAAGGCCCTTTAAGGACCTATTTTTAGCAGGTGATTTAGAGCAGACCAGTGATTTTCTTTTTGTTAAATTGCTTTGCTGTTTTCACCGTGAATGCCCTGAGAGCCAGACACAGAAGCCGTGAACAGAGGCCCTGCCGGAATGCCTGCAGAATGTCTTCTGGTCAAACTCTCTGGGATTTCTGGCTTTTAACAAAGGAGCCTCTTGGAGGGTAAGGGCTGGAGGGAGGGCGATTCCACCCATCCATGGCTAATGTGTGATTTGTTTATGGAAACTGTAGTGGTGGCAGTGACAGAGATGTTTTAACAGCAGAGACCCTGAGAGAACAACCTTGGTTCTGACGTCACAGTAAGAGCGCCAAGAATTCCCGTCCATCTTGTTGATAAGGCCCCCTCCAGCAGAGCGCCCGGCCTGTGGAGAGGTTCCAGGTCCTCCCAGGGCACTGTCCACACTGCAATTTCCTCACTCCTTCATCTCGGTGCCTTTTCTTTCTGTCAGGCTGTAGCCCTAGGTGACCCCTTACAAATCTGTCCTGTCGTACAGCAGCACTGCAGAAGACAGACCTCTCTGTTGACGAGGAATTCCCTCAGAGGAACCTATCATGGTGATGCTAGGCCAGCGATCTCATGGCTGCTGTATTCACAGTGCTGAGGGTTTCTCATTGAAATAGCAGGTGCTTTTAGAAGTAGCCAGAGATTGGCTGAGTAATAAACTCTCTTAGAGGAAACTCACACAGACACCATGACCACAGCAACTCTTATAAAGTAAAACCCACGCATATTTCAGAGGTTTAGTCCATTATCATCGTGGTGGGAGGCATGACAGTGTGCAGGCAGACATGATGCTGGAGAAGGAGCTGAGAGTTCTTACATCTTGACTCATAGGCAACAGGAAGTGGTCCGAGACACTGGGCGTGGCTTGAGCATATATGAGACCTCAAAGCCCGCCTCCACAGCAACTCATTTCCTCTAAGATCACACCTACTCCAACAAAGCCTCACCTCCTAACAGTGCAACTCCCTTTGGGGGTCATTTTCTTTCAAATCACTCTAGGCAGGCTGAAGAGAGGGCATACCTAAACTAGAGCCTGGAATTCTCTTCTCAATGAGTATGATGATTGCTTTTGGGAGGTCAGGAATCTCTCTCTTCACTTTTTTGGGTTCTCACCTCCTGGCTGGTAACCATGGGAATAACACCCAGCCAGGTATTTCAAGTCAAGTCTGTAAAAAGACAAATTACATCTAGTTGTTCAGACCAGATTTGCCTTTGAGAGTCTCGCAGTCCTGACCATAAATCGTTGAGAATACCCTGGCCTGCTCTGCGTGCATGTTGCGTTTATAGCAAAGGAAAGAAATGGCGTACAGGAAACAAGCAGGAGCGAGGCAGAGTGAAGCTGACCCACCCAAGACTCCCTTCCTGTGGTAAGAGGAGTTGCAGTTCATTTACTTGTCACAGTAGGTCATAGTTCACTATGCAGGGAGGTGTCTTCCATCCAAGCTCAAACTACACAGTGACATCTTTGGCCAAATTGAACTGGGCAGTAAAAGATGGGCCAAGCCTGCTGGGAAAAGACCTGGTGTCAAAAGCCAGGATAGACAATTGTGAGGAGGGAAGCTCTGGTTACTGGGTTTTTCTTAGTCTCTTCCTTCTGTCACCTCCCAGTTCATTCATGACTTAAATGATACTATAAATGAAAGTCACATCGTCCTAGCCTAGAAGGTCGCCAGTTCTTATATTTAGCCTGCTTCCCTCAAGGGGAAGTGTCTGTGGCTTTCTAGCCCCTGGGATGGCAGTGTGGATCAAAGGTCTTTCCTAACCCTTATTATTACGATGTTAACTTGAAAGCCCTTTGAACCTCTTCCCTTCAAAGGATTTACTTAGGTGTTTTTTCAAAGAGGATTATAGCTATTATCATTTCTTCTTAATAGTTTCCCTGTTTTTGAAATCATTTGGTTTAAATAAACTTGCTTCAGCCATGTTTCAAATTAGCTAGAATTATCAAGAGTAAGATTTTTGATTCAATCATATATTTTTCTTCTTAGAAGAAGAAAGAAAGAAAAGAGAGAGAAGGCAGCCGAATGTTTGCAGGATGTCCCCCCACCAGGGGGGATAACTCCAGCTTAGATGAGCTGTGAATATTCTCTGGGGCCTTCTTTTGAGATTTCATTTTTGCAGCTCTCAGAAAATTGAGTGATAATTAGCTTATGTATTTACCAAATCTAATTGAGGCCGACCTATCTGACATTACTGGGAGGCAAATTTCTCTCTGGTTTCACCATTCTAATTATAGGCATACGTGTAAAATTTTAATAACCATAATTATGAATGTGAAATATTCTGCCGTTTATTTCTCTACAATGTCTTTAAAATCAAGTCTTCTTGGCTAGATGAAGAGAACTTTAAATGCAGGTTCTGCCCTGCCGCTTCCCAAATCCTGAACTAATTTATCTTCTTGGAAAACTCTTGAGATAAGGCCAGGCTCTGTTTCCTAACTTGCCCGGGACAGTGGACAGTGCTCTGGCCTTTTATCTGATAGATCTGATAGATCAGATAAGGGGGAAGGGAGGAGGTGCCCTAAAAGACTCCGCCCTTTCCTTTAACAGAGCCCCCGTTGACCCGAGGAATGGTAGCTTTGCCTTTAATCTTGGAAATTCAGAGACACATTTTTCTGGAACCACTGTGTGTTTGGGCTTCTAACAAGACAACTTTTCTTAAAACTTTGACTCCCGGCAGCACTGCCACTCCCTGGGACGAGCTCCGGACTGCACAGCAGGGGTTCTTAAGCCAAGAGGCATGGGTTCCTCTGGCTAGTGCTCCCGCCCCCCCAGCTCGTGCGCTGCAGTATCTACTGGGGTCTGGGAACAGGGCCCCTCACCTTCATTGCAACAGATACTCTCTCAGATGGGAGGCTAGCCATCCTCTGTGTTCAGACAGGCTTTTTTTCCCTAGTGTTTTCTTGTGGTACCTAGTTGAGCAAACTGGACCAAAGGGGAAGAGAATGGTCAGGTGGAGGTAAACGTGAGGGGGCAGGAGGAGGGGGACAAGTGGAAACAATCCAATCAAAGACAAAAGAAGAGAAAGGTTGGTGTTGAAGCAACTTTTCTGGTGGCTCTTCGGCTAGATCCCTGAGGGCTCTGTATTCTTCAGAGCCTGAAAGAGCCCATGGGGTTCTCTTTGAACAAGCTGTTCAGTTATACAGCCCACTGCCATAAGTGTTAGGGAGCTCTTGGGCGTCGTCATCGCGACCCAAGGTGTGCAGGTGGCGTCACAGCCTCCCGGTTTTCTCCTGGGCCGTTTGTCGTTTCTCTTCCCTATGGCTTTTGTGGTGGGTGTGCACTTGCAGATGGAGCCAAGCGAGAGCCAAGCAAAAGGCAGTCATGAGAGGAGACAGAAACGGCGCCAATGCAGAAAGTACGGGGTGTGGTCGCAGCCTCCTCAGAGCCAATCTCTGACCTGCCCTGAAACTTGGGAGTCTTATGCCTATGGGTTCGGAGCTCAGCATTTGCAATGGAGTTCAAAGGATGGCCCAGGATCTCAGCCCTTCAGTCCGAGATCAACAAAGATTGAAGAAGATACTAGGGGAGGGAAGAGCACTAACAGCTCCCTAATTACCCTCTAGATGCAGTATCTTTAGATCAAAAGTGAAGCCTTCACAAAACTCCTAATAGACCCAGAGTAGCTGTGAGGCCCATCCGGGCTTTCCTGCAGGCCTCCCAGATGCCTTCCCATCTTAGAACAAAGCAACGCCATGAGGTCACTTAGTCTAGTTGGCATCGCTAGCCTGCTGCATGTTCTTTCTCCAGCCAACACGCAGGGCTGTTTAAACAGTCCTCCCCCGCCCACCCCCAAATTACAGTATACCTCTGGAAGGAATTTCTCAGAGACTTTGATGAAAGAAACTGAGCTGAAGAAGGCAGCCGTAAGTGGCCAGAGATGCAGACGGCCAGCCGCAGACAATCAGTCACCGTTCGGGTTCTCCCCAACGGCCACCAGGCAGCCAGGATCTCAGCATGCTCTCCGTTCCTGCCTCAGTCCTAGAAAGCTAACAGTCTCTCTTCACCCCAGATGACTCATTTACAAGGCTCGATAGAAATATGTTTTGGCTCCTCACCCTGTTAGGTCTAGCCGGATTGTGCAGCGAGGGCTGATGTAAGATGTTCCACCGAAGCAAGGGAGCCACCACCCGGCACGCCTTTGTCTTGAGAAGTCTAGCAGGGGTTATGGTTTGCAGCTGGTGGGTTTCCTGTTGGATGCTAAATTATGTGTTAGCCTGAGAGAATGTTTCCTTTTCTGCTTTTTTTCCCCTTCTTCTTCCCTCCTCGTTTTAGCAATTTTCTAATTCAGAGTTCGTGTTTGTCTTCTCGTCTCTGCAGATTTTGGTCTGAGCAACTGTGCGGGGATCCTGGGTTACTCGGACCCATTCAGCACACAGTGCGGCAGCCCTGCCTACGCTGCTCCGGAACTGCTCGCCAGGAAGAAATACGGCCCCAAAATTGATGTCTGGTCAATGTGAGTTTTCCAGCTTGTAAAAGTCAGTGTTGCATCCTAAGGTCACTCACTATCTGATGAGAATGTACCTACTGTGCTGGGGTCTCATCAATGATTCTCGGAGCCCACCCTTCTTTTTTCTTTCCAGACTTTTCTTCATAAACTTTCAAAATGGCATTTACAAACATTTCACTGGGGAGTTGGGAAAAGCGCAAAGTCTAGCCTTCACAGACTTCCACTGGTGTTCCGTGAACCACTCAGGTTGTATGTAAACCTTTTCATAAAGCCAGATCTGAAATTACAGCTACCCAAGAGGCCAAGGCAGGAGGATCGCAAGTTCAAGGCTGAGTTTAAGGTCCCATGGGCAACTGAGTGAGACTCTGTCTCTGTATCACAAGGAGAGAGTGGATGGAAAGGCAGCTAGTGCTGAAAACCTGGCTTAGTGTATGGTAGGTTCTAGGTTTAATCACCTGTGCCACGAAACTAAACCAAACCAACAAATGTGCTCATGTACACACACACACCCCAAGCCAAACCAAAAACACAGGCCTATGGATATACATACACAGATACACATCACCTACACACACCACACAAACACACACACTACAAACTACACACACATGCCAAACCAAACAAACACATGTGTACTTGCAGTACATGTGTACATATACCACATATATACACCATATGAACAGACAGACAACACATACACACACACACACACACACACACACACACGCCCCACATCCTCACTAAAACAAAATCAGACAAACTGACCCCACCGTAGTCCCTAAGCATGAGCTTTAAGTCCATCTGCTGCGGCCTACCTCGCCCACCTCTTTGCACAGCCTGGTTCCGCACCGCCAGTTTGGCTTCTCTCCCATCTTCCCACCTGTCTTTCCTTCGCCGGGATGCTGTTCTGGCTCTTCATCCAATCTCAGTTCCGGCTTTCCTCCAGCAGACCCTTTGTGGACTCGCCGTGTTCCCTGCCCAGGGCCCCTCATCTTTAATTCCCCTGTATGTTTGCTGCCCTTGTTCACTCTCCCATTTGTGAGCCCCTTCACTGTCTCCTCCAGACTCTTCACAGTCTTGGAACAGCTGGGGAATTCATTAACACGCCATGGAAGAAATGAAAGACTGTGGAAGCCCCAGATGCCAAGGCACATTTCAAGGGTGTTGTGTCCTGTGGTGACGGGGAGGTGACCAAAGGGAAGGTGGAGTCAGGGAGCAGATGGCAGTTTGCTCCTTGGGGTCAGGCTCTTAAGGGGATGGACATGGCCCCAGGTGTGACCACACGAGCTGAAGCCCGAATCTCCTGCGCGTAGCAGGTGTGTAGAGGAGGGCACAGGTCCAGGCTCCTCTGCCGCCTTGTGCTAACTCTGACACAGAGTGAGTCGGTTGTCCACATGGAGATGAAAGCCCAGGCCAAGCAAGGCTGGGTTTTGTTCTTGGCCTTTTTGCCAAGTTGCTCGGTCAGGGGAAGGAATTCATATTTAGCAACCGCTGACACCCTATCTCTCAGTTCTATGACTAAGATAAAGGGCCATGCTCCTCAGGGAAGCTTCTTCCCCCCTATTCCCATGGCCGCCAGCTCTCTGTCTGTCTAGAAGCGAGGACTCTGTGTCTGTCTGGAAGTGATGGTGACAGGTGACACTGGAGAAGAGGAGGGGAGATGGTGTCCCGCCACAATGCCTGATGCGTCAGAAGCCTTGTCTGCTGCCAGTGATCAGTGACCACTCATCCAGCACGGACAGGTCCCTCCTGGCATTCCTTGGCGTTTCTGTGTTCGTGTTCACTTGGTGAAATTATTCTCCCCAAGAAGATAATGCACAGCTGCAGTTGCTCAGAAAATCTCTACAGCTTCGTGGTGAGCAGACACGGGAGCAGGGCATGGAAGGTGTAGAGTTCATTCGTGCCAGAAGAGTCCCCGGAGCAAGATGGCAAGCCGCAGCACCCAAGACCCAATGAGTACTTTCATGTCTCCTTTACTTGTGCCTCAGTGGGCAGAGCCAATTGCATGGCTCAACCTTGAGCCGGGAGAGACCTTCTCTCCTGCTTGCTGGGTATAGCCAGCGTCTGTGACTCACTTGCCTTCTTCTGTGACCAAGTTGTGTCACCCAGTCCCCACTTAACCTTCCGAAGCCCCAATGCCCCCAGTTGAGGTATTTAGTGATGGCACGTTTGGGATGTATTACTTTCAGATGTAGTGAAGAAGGCGGAGTCCATGCTGCTATGGGTGTCCTTCTAAGAGGCCGTGTGAGGTCATAGGACAAGGAGGGAAGGAGGGAGGCTCTCTCCTGAACCCAACTGTTGTGTGATCTTGATCTTAGACTTTCAGCCCCAGAACTGTGAGACAGTATCTATTGTTTGAGTTCCCCGTTCTGTGGTAGTTTGTTACGGTAGCCTGTGTGGGCCAGCTTTTCATTGCTATAACCGAATACCGGAGATGACGCGCACATGAAGAGTGATAGTTTATTTTGGCGAGTACCTCTGAAGTTTTCAGTCTGTGATGGATTGACCTCATTGACTGGGGCCTGTGTTGAGGTGCAGCACTGGGGATGGAGCCTGTGACAGGGCAGAACTGCTGGGGTTACACACCAGGGGCAAAGAGAAAGTCCAAGTTCCCTTTCAGAGCATGTACTAGCTGCTTAAGGATTTCCGCTAGACCCACTCCTAAAGACCCCACGTCTACTCCTAATGCCTGTCTGGGAATCAGGCCTTCGAAAGCACACGAACCTCTGGTGGAGACTTGCCCAACCCACAGCGTAGACCAGGCTGATGAAGACACATACCTGCCTACAAGCCCCCTATAAAAAGATGCAGTGTCAGTCAGCCTGGAGGCAGACACACAGCTGGATGAAACTGAGAAAGCGGTGTGGGGGCGAGGGGCTTTAACCTGCTCTTGAGAGCTGAGTGAAGCTGGCCAGGTAGGGGAGGGGGGACGGCTCCAGGCCGTGTACGGCTCAGGCACTGCTGGCATCTGAATACTGCCGGCTCTGCAGGTCCTGGCGAGAGCACGAAACTTCAGAGCCTTCGTTAGAAGATGGATTTTCCACTACCTTGGAGTCCTCTGTCTGGGGGAGGGATTAGGTTTCTGTGTGGTACCCACGGCTTTGTTGACAGAATTGGGAAATAGAAAACCCAAAGAGAATTTAATTCAACACTGCTTAAGATGAGACTGGAAATGGAGCCACTGGCGCCCTGCTCTAATACCGTCATTACAAAACGCCTCTTTTTGTTTTTAATTGCTGCGAAACAGCATAGTAAGGAATTGACTTCTAAAATCAAAAGCAAATATCCCTCTCCAGAGGATTTTGCGCCTGCTGGATGGCAGGCACCAACTCCGAAGCTTCTGAGGCTGGTGAAGAAGAAACCAGCCTGTTGCATAGGAAGGCTTGGAGAATGCTTGAGACAGCTGGAGCATCCTTCTGATAATGTGAGCATTAGCTGTGCAAAAGGGGATGGGGTCCTGGGGCGCTCCTCCTTGTCAGTGGTGTCACGTTCAGGACCATTTAAATCATCCTTAAAACCATGTTTACCTTTCTCCTTCACTTCACTCAGAGGTCTTATTTGCTCACACATGTGCGCGCACACACACACACACACACAAACACACACACATTCATTCTCTCCCCCCTCCACCCCTTCCCCTTCTCTTCAGCGAACTTTGAGATTTTAGACACGAAACTGTAATGGTCACTCTAGTAATCAAACATTTATTATTGCTTCTTGCCTTTTCCTCCGAGTGGCATGTATTATGATTTGAAAATAGTGTTAATGCAGACATCTTTTTAATTGAAGAGAATTTAACTTCAAGACTATTACAACACTTGCTCGAGAACCTCAGCGAACCTTTAAGGGTTAGAATGGACAGCAAGAGTCTTGTCCCCCAGGAGATGGAGGAAGCTCCATTCTCACAGCACAGTGGTTTGTCCTGGTGGCTGTGCAGTCTCGGGACCTAGTGCAGAGTCGTGCACAGACATGGTGCCCCGCCAGCCCCATGACCCCAAGCTTCCTGAACCCTTCTTTCGATGAATTCATGGGAGGGACCTGTCTTTTCCGAATTCCTTTGGGTAGATAAGTTGGGCAAGGGGTACCATGTTGTTCCAGCTCATCTGTCTCTACAGAACACGGTGTTCAGGAAGAGAATGACAAAACTGGGCTGTCATTTACAGAATGACACCAGATGCTCTCCCCTGCAGGCAGGGGTCACAGACAGAAGGATTTTCTTTGTATTCATGATAAAAGCTGATGAGGAAGGTGCAAGGAGAACTGTGTTCATTTGGGGAAGCTGAAGCCTTTTGACTTTTGAAAGAGAAATTCCGTGCTGGCTGGGCGTGGCATACTTGCCCCCAATCCCAGTGTTCAGGAGTCAGGGGCCGGAGGCATTTGAGGCTATCCTGGGCTACATAGTGAAACCTCATTTCAAAGACGAAGCCTCCTTCAACTGGTATTTCCCTGCTTTTGTAGCTAGCACATTTATTGAAATAGAGCAGGGAAGGGAAAGGAACAAACACCTTGAAATCCACCAGACTTATTTTCCTGCCAAACGCAGACCATTTAACGGAAGAGGGCTGAGACGGGGGCTTTTTCAGATGGATGCAGGATTCCTCCTTTCCTATCAGGACTTCTTCTGGGAGTTGTTGCTGAAAATTGATGCAGAAAGACACATGTAATCTTCTGGTGGAGGGTTAAGTTTAGATTCTTCAAGGTAGTTCCTTTTTTGTAGAACCATGAAGAACCAAGGTGTGCTTGGTTCCCCTCACTGTCTTTGTGTGAGCTGGGTGGTTGCCGAAGCTCCTGGCCACATGTCCCCAGGACTAGTGACCTCACCCTCCACCTGCTCAGACAGAGTTCATATTCGCTCTTTCCTTGAGTCTGGATAGTTTCTGGCAACTTCTCCAGGGAGCAGCGACTCAGTGTCCTTCTTCTTGGAGGAATAATAGTGAATAATAATAACGATAATAATGATAATAAAATATTCCTCCAGGGAATATTTTAATGTGTCAGACTGACTG